GGCCAAATCAGCTTTGTAACATTTAACTGACATCGTAGAGGAAGAATACAAACAATTGTTGCAATTTCATGGCACTTTTAAAGAAAAAAGTTGATTGAAATGTATTAGACAGATTGTGGTTACTTTGGAAAGTATAAATTTAATGGAAATAAATATTAAAAGCCTCGGATTCACTTAGCTGAATGCCAAATGGCCTCACACACCAGCCCATAAAAATCTAATTTTCATTAGACCTTTTGGGATTCATTTAATATTCCCTCATGGTAATTGGTATCCTGAACTGATAACAAGTCCTGACATTTTGATACACATAAAGTATGGTTATATAGTATAGCATTTAAACAGAGTGCAGAAAGTAAAATACAGGTAAGCATGTCTTGTTACTTCAAATACTTTCTTTCGCATTTGAACTAGAACTTTCCTATGGATACTTAAACTATTTATATCTTTAATTCATTAGCCAGAATTTAGGCAGTCGCCTTGCGTGCTGAATCATTTAATTTTTCTCATTACCTGCTCCGCCGGCTTGGGGCAACAGAACTTGGCACGCCAGTGGATCCCAAGGGGAAAACTATGTACGGAGCTGGAAAACTCGGGCGCGATACATGAATCCACGATACAATTAATGGGCGTCGGGAGGGCGCATTTGATTTGTATTTATATTAGGCGGCCGGAGCACGAAACTGATTTTCGCCGGGAAACTGCAGAGCTGGGGAGTTTGGGGAGCGCGGGCTGACCAAATGGAATCGAACAAATATTTATAACCCAATGTGTACCAACTTCCAGTGCCCGTCTGTCAGCCTGTCAGTCCAACTGGGTCCCTCATGGCAGCAGCAGCAGCAGCAGTAGGAGGAGCAGCTCCAAAAGTGGCCGTGGCAATGGCAGTGGCATTGGCATTGGCAGTGGCAGGAAAAGTCACGCCAGGATGGCTACCGGGTGAACTGGCGTAATTGAAAGCGACTTCCTTGCGAAGCGAGCTCCTGCTCCCAAGGACGACACCAATCGCATTCGCATCCTTGTGGCGCCAGTTTATTGGAAAAGGTCTGCGGCCGGGCGATTATCTGATTGCTGGCGCGGCACTATGTACATTTAAGCCATTGCCAGCCATTTGCCATCCTGATGTGGCATGTAATTTGATTATATGCAGCCCTCTGTGTCCTGCACCACAATGTTTGCCTAATTGACGGTAATTAAACGAAAACGAATGGGGCGGGCTGACACAGTGAGCCAGAGTGTTGGAAAATTCGCCACATCAGCCAGACTGTCATAGGCAAATTGATGGATGATGACTGGGAGTTCAAGCCCGGAGCAACTCAGTCATGCGTGATTGGGCGCAGATTGTTGGGGCTGGTCATGCTGAAGTTTCTGCCGAGTCACTAGCATATTTAATAAAAATCAACAGAACAAAGTGTTGCACTCTGACACAGCAACTGTGAGACTGCCTGCAGCTACAGGCGATCCTCCCTAAGAAAAACTTCCAGTACCAGTACCAGCACCACTAAATTGTATAACATTTAACGGCAAAACTTTGTCAAATACCCAGAACTTGGAACTTTAATAACTCAAATGAAGTTTTTCTGTTTTATGTCTACTTATTGTATTATATATACGTATATCACAGCCATTCCCAACTGGCACATTTCGAATCATTTAAGCTGAAATTATTGCAACGAGTATTTGAAATTGATACACGTCGGACTGCATGATATTTTTCAATAGGCATTTTGACAAATGAAACTCCACATGCCACACATCCACTATGGCGTAGTGCAGAATAGTGTAATATTTCGAATCGAAGGAGACGTAAATCATGGCCGGAATCGGAGGAAGGACTGGGGTCTCGGAAATACCAATGTCAGTGGCACCGTCAGCGGCCACGTCAAAGCCACTGCCATTGCCAAGAGTCCACTGACGCGTACTGCCAAAAACTGGATTTTTCGATTGGTTTTCGGTCGCTATTGTGCCTCCTGGGTGGTGGTGACCTCGTGCTCCTCCTCGGAAGGCCTCAATTGAAGCAGCACCAGCAGCAGCAACAGCAGCAGCAGCAGCTGCAGAAGCAGTAGCATTGTGTTGGCATTGCTGTTCTGCACGACGAGTATGTGTGTGCTAATGTGGCTGCTGCATTTGCAATTTCTAAATTCCCGATGCCATGCAAGGGCAGCAGAAAGTGCACTGGCAACAACAGCAAGACCATGGAAATAGCTAAAATACTCAAAAAAAAAAGGGAGGAGAAAAAAAGTGCAGCTTTAGTTCGCTGCAAAGCTGTCGGAGGCGTCGCCCACCTGTCCGTCACCGGATTTATAGCCAAGAGCTCTTTGGAGCCAAGAGCTGCTCCACTCCGGCGTAACTGCATTTGTGGCAGGGGGGGGGTGTCGGATTTTGGCCCCGGATCCGTACCAAACTTTTTGGTATTTGACTGAGGGTCAGAGCCGAGGACTATGTGTACTTTGAAAGTACAGAAATAGCAAAAGCCGTATGAAAAGTTTATCAGTACCGAAGCGAAATAGTTGTACGGAAGACTTCGGAAATCCCATAAATGTTGGCCATATATTTTTTTAAATTTCTAAGTGAAAAGAACTTGAAGTTGAAGAAAATTGCAGGGATTTCATTGCTAAACAAAAATTATACGAAAAGTTTTATAATTACTTTTTGTTGGCTGCGCGGATACTTAACGATAATGACGCTGCTGTACTTCTCACAACTCTTTACTTTAGTAACTTAAGTAGCAGCTCGAAGAATGTCTGATTGACAGTTCGACTAGCTAATGTTGGCAATTAAATGTGGTCCTAACCAAAGGCCTGTCAATTTCCTTGAAATCTCAAAGTAAGCCAAAGTAAGTGGATGCCGGGTGTATTATGGGTCACTCGAGAAAGTCGATAATCTGGAATTATCAATCACTTCGACAGGTCGGTAGCCTCTACTAATTAATATTAGATGCCAGAATCTCGATTAACTCACTGCCATTATGCAGGTGTACTCGAAAACATCAAAGTGCCTGCAAACACACAATACCTGGGCTCATAAATAATCTTGCCCGCTTTTGTGGCCAAAACACACTCACACAAAGCCAATTTGAAGCCCTTTTCGGCTTGGCTGAAATTTGATTAAGAGAGTGCCACACCCACTGAAGGGGGCCGAAAATGGGGCCATCAATTTAAATCAGTCCGTTGCGGTTCCATAAATAAGGGTTGTACTCGAAGCTGCGAGACTTGCGCCATATTAGCACACATTTTTAACAATTCCCCTTGATGGCCGAGTTCGCTCTTGGCCAAGTTGAGAGAGCCAAACAGACAGGTATCGAAACATACCGCTGCCGGGATAAATGAAGGTTTGAACCGGAATGCCGCCGTTTAATCAGGCAAAGTGATTTCGTCTTACACGCACTCACGCGCGTACTTAGGCACAATCAACTTATCATTTTGCCCATATGCATGTATCTCTTAGCCAGATAGACGGGAACCTCGAGGAGGTTCCTCCCACGCCCACGTCGAAGGAAGCCGGAGCAGAAGCCAGCCGATGTTAATACTAAGGTAGTTTAACCTTACGCAACGAACCGACTGTAAATCTACGCCTGCTATCATGCAAAGTTCCTGCCGACTCCCAGTCCCATACACTTTCAAAAATAACGAGCTCTTAAAATGCTGGAAAATGTGATTCTTAAACTACAATTGTAGTTTTGCATATTCAATTTGCTCTTGCTCTTGATTTTAAATTTATGCTCAATGCTAATAACTAACTGGTAATAGACTCACATTACAGAAAAGAAATCCTGCTTTTCTTAGAGTGCAGCACGCTTTTTACCGAGCCTTCATGTGCGTGTCTGGCTCGCGACTTCTTCCCGATTGCTCCTTTTTTTTGGTTATTTTCCCCTAGAGGTGGAGATAAATTTATTACCATTTTGCAGTTACAATGTTTCAATATCTCGTTTGGGGCGAGGCGGTCGGAAGCCTGGCCTGTGTGGCCATTATCGCAATTTAGGCACGATTCATGCACATATATATCCTCTGCTTAGTTGCTCCTTGGATTGCCGAATACGTGATGTATGATCCCTCCCAGGATGCAGGCGAACCCTAAACCTACGGTCGGAGGCACACTTCAAATGGTTAAGTTCCCGTCTTTCCGCAACCACCTGGGGTCAATAATTGGAGCTGGCATAAGCTGGGATTGAGGATCACGGCCACTGGAGCGGATGGGTAACGCCTGGTTAGGCCAACTAATTGGCATGTGGCAAGTTTCTAATGAGTTGCAAAAACTTCCAGCTGCTGAGACAGCTGCAAAAACAGCTGCGTCAGCCAGAATTAGCAATGGGAACGGAATTAAATGGTTTTCCGTTTTAATTTATTACAGGATTAAAGCATCAAGCAATGTGGCATTAGAAAAAAAATGAAGGTAAAGTTCTCTTATATGCTATGAAGGCTATATACTCCTGATTACGATTACTGATTTCAATAAACAGCATCGAATGATATTTAATGCATTTATTAAAGTAAAGTTAAGAGGGAAAATAGAAGCCTCACTACATGGACACTTTAAGTTACCGTTTTCCACTGCAAAAGCATTCATTAAATGTGTCCTTTTTCGCATTCATTGCAAGCCGCGTACAATTTTGTATGCTTCATCAGGCCAAATAAAGCCAGAAGCTTTTGGCCGGGCCAAAATTGTGGCACTGGGTTTTTGAAGGGGACAAGGGGCAGGGCAAGGGCAAGGGAACCGAGATGTTTTATCACTCAAAATGCACACATGGGCCAACTGCAAACGGCAGTTGCCATGGCCAACACTCATGGGCGATTTTGTGGCAACGGATGTTGGCCGCATTTTTCCAATTTACGCGCCCTATCACTGGTTATGAAATTCTCATAAATTCAACTGGGAAATGGCAATGTAGTATACGAGTATTGTGAATATAAAACACTAGTAAGCGCAGGTCATTAATGAAATTGCCATGATTATTTCATTCCCGGCTCATTTGGGTAGCATATGTCAACAGAACTCTTGGGGGCTGCACAATTTATTTAAATAAATAATAAATATGTGTACTGTATAAACACATCATTAGTTCCTCTCAAATCAGGGTTATAGCGCTGATAACTAGTAGTCATTCACTATGCATATATGTGGATTATTTTTGCGTCGCGTCGAATTCAGCTGGTCATTATGGGTTGGTTATGTTAGCTCGAGGGCCAGTCGCCTGGCCTCAACCTTGTCCTGGGCCTGGGCCTGGTCCTGGGCCTGGGCTCGTCCTCCGTCCAACGTTCTCAGTCCTCAGTCCCATTCCGTGCCGTGCCGTGCCATGTCCTCGCGTCCTTGTCGTGACTCAATCGCCACCGCACACTTGAGCACGTTTGCCCAGGCGCGGCTTGAACGGCACCGATTTCTTAACCATGCGCTGCATGAACTGTCCGCCGATGGCCTCCTCGCCGCCCGCCATTCCCGTCGCCCCCTCGGCGTCCAGGAGTCGCCAGGAGTCAATGCTGCGGCCAAGGCGTGGCGTCCGCACGCGATAAGCGGGCTCCCCATTACTCTGCACTGTCCGAACGGAAATAGACGAAATATTTAATAATACATACAAAAGAATGTGGGAAAAAAAAAATTTTTTTAAATATTGTTTAAATGTGCTGGATAATTAATTGTTTTTAACAGCTTAATGTCGGAAATCGCATAGAAGAATGGCTTTATGCACACAGTATCTAGAAAAAGATACCAATTTCAGTGACTTCAGTGTACAATTTTCGACAATAAGTATGGGACTTATATGCAATATTAATTTAAATATCCCGATAGCTTGTGAAGTAGGGAAACGACTTGCATATTAAATGGCAATACGATTTTCGTATTATGTTTTCCTCTGTGCAAAAAATGAGAAAAGCTTATGCTGGTGTGAAATGGAAACGTGATTCGGGAACCAATTAGAAGGACCTCCCCGAATGCATATATCCTTCACATTTCAGCACGCGTCAATCCCAACTGGATGTTGCGTATACGCAGTGTGATCCCTCATAGGCAACTTACGCTGTCGCAGCTTTTGGAGCAGCAGGTAATAGGTCAGTGGCGGCATGCTGTCCAAATCGAATTCCTGGCCCTGTGGCGGCACGGCGGCCACCTGCAAGGTGGCACTGGCCTTCTGAGCCAGGCTGTTCTCCTCCAGCTCGTCAATGATGTCAGTCAGCTCTTTGTAGTCGCCCATGGCGCGCTTTTGACGTGCCTCGCTCAACGCTGCAGAGGCTAGTGGTGATGATGATCCTCTGGCAGAGCCGGCGCTGATGTGATTTCCCAAATCCAGTTTGCTCGTGCCCTGCGCAAATAAAAAATGCCATAAAAGCAGAGCACAGAAACAACGGACACGGGCGGTATGGGGGGAAGAGGGAGCTAAATATTTGAGATATTTCCTTGGAGGATGCTTCTTTTTTTTTTGTTACTGAGGGTTCCCACGCTGCCAAACTGTCGACACGTGTTAAGTTATTTTTATGCCGCCTATTTATGCTCATACTCGTACGTGAGCTCCACACACGCATAGAAGTCCTTCCAACCGACTTGCGGGTGTGTGTGTGGGTGTCTGTGGATGTGTATGTGTATGTGCGTGTGCGTGTGCGAGTCAAGCACTTTATTGTTTCAATTTACAGCCAGGCATGGAAGGCAGATCAGCGTGTGCCGCTTGATTAGACAACTCAATGTAGATTGAAATGCCAACACCTGAAATCGGCTTGTAAATCGCACTTCGCCCATAAACGCTCGCTCTAAGCGGGCGTCTGCGTGGGCGTATACTTGATATTAAACCTTCATTTGGCACCTCATTTCGGACTACACTCAGCAAAATGCATAGTCCGTATTTTTTACACACCAATTATAACATATTCTGTAAGGCTTGAACAGCAATTAGTATTCATTTCTCATTCTGAGCTGATTAAAAATAAGTGAAATGTTATACCTCCGGTGGTTTCATTGGATTTTACTTTCATTTCTTTTAGTTTTCGCATTAAAATGTGAGTAAAACAAGGATTTTTTCTTTTTTAAGGCTTTGCTATTAAATGCAAAAGACAAAAGATTCACATAAATAATAATTCAATTATGTAAAATACGTGTACATATTTTATTCCCCTTTTGAATTTTCATCATACTTAATGTTTCGTTCATGTGCCGAATTCGATACTAATCACTTTTGGACTCGATATCAAACGAAATCATTTTGCCTAAAACCAAATACAACACCACGAATTCCCAACTCAATGAACTATGCATAAGCTTGATATAATTATGCCTTTTTGATTAATTAAGGCCTATTGGGCTTTATTAAATTTCCATTGCCAAACATCAAGATAAAGTTATTTTAATTAGTGGTGAGAATAAGTTACGCAATACGTATACGCAGTGTGGGCTGCCAGTGCAACCGAAATGTTAATTGGATGCCAATTGATTGCCAGCAGGCAAAAACAAAAAATAGTTGCAGTATCTGCAAACTAATTGGTAGCACTTCAAGTACAGTTGACAGGGCGGAAATGAGTGTGCCACAAACTGCTGCAAAACACACGGTAAAGTGAAAACTTTTCGCACCCCAAATTTCCGTTCCAAAAATCCAAGAATTTCAGCAGCCGTTGGAAATTATCACGCTAAGCTCGCGAACTTGTGCCTGGGCAAATAACACTAATTAAGTGGCGCTTGTTTGGCCAACAAGTCCCAGTGCCACCTCTTTTTTCCACTATGCCAGAGACTCACCTGCAAGGACTTCGCATGACTGCAAACAAGGATGTAGCAGGAAGCCGCGATTAGCAGCAGTGTGCAATAACTAGGACCACACATAACTGGGCTAACTGGCCAACTGGGCGTCCTGTGTTCGGTGTTCGGTGTTCGATGTTCGGTGTTAGGTGTTTGCTGGCGTTTGCGAACGACTGGAATCCCAGGACAGGACACTCCGGAAGCGCTGGACCTATTAACTTAATAGTCGGATGATCGAATGGGACCGCGTTGCGCTTTGGGACTGCTTTGCGGAACAACTGATGCCAGTAGCGCAGCAGCTCGCAAGTTATATAGCAAAATGCGAGCGGCCCCATGCGAGCCTGATTAGGTCCTTGATGGACGGGTGCTAAGTGATTTGTTATGCACTCTAGTGCCAGCCAAAGGCAGCCCGCTGGTCAGCGTAAACAAGCGAATCAAGCGGCAAATCCCAAACGGAAGTGCCACCAATTTGTCGCCTACAGAGCGAGTGCAAAATGGGATTCGATGAGTGACTGGCATTCAAATTGGGAAGCTAATTGTTAAGTCTGCAGTTGGAAAAATTACAACAAAATCAAGTAATACATTTTTAATACGCATTTTCTATGGGCTCTCTGTAGACCAGCTTTCACTTCCATTTCTGCGTTGTCACATCAGCCCAATGCTATTTAAGCTGACTGTTGCTGGTGTTCATTGATAAGCCTTGAAACATTTAATTAATGCGGCTTAATAAATAGTTTCACTGATAAATCCACATTGCTTCACAGCCAGAAGATGCAGGTTTAAAAATAAATTGATAAGTTGTCAAAAGTATGACATGCATAAATATGCGTCCAAGGATTATACCTATATAATTTTTTTGTTGTTTCAGTACTACACTTCGGATAAAAAATCAATAGGCCCAGCCACTTTTAGACATGAGTATAAAATATCCCTTTTATTCTGAACCATCCCTATGAGATTTCGATGTCCAGCATAAACAAAGTTGATGAATATTCTTCTAGCACTTCGGCTTCGATTTTAATACTCTTTCCTTTAAGTGTACCCAGCGTAACCGCGGGGCATCCTGTTCAATGGAAATCCGAGCGCGTGTAAAGTCCATCACGCCTCTGAAGGCGATGGCATTAGGCCCAACACCCACCACAATGGGGCAATGTCAATGCCGTTGCCGCTGCCAATCGATCAATCTTATTTAAATGTTGACAGTTGTCTTCGCATTGTATCCTGTAGTCCGTAGCCTCGGGGGCCTGTTTTGCCTGCTTTGCTTGTTGTGCGGATGGGAAAAGGCCTGGGGAACTCCCCAATGTCGCAGCTGGCTTATTTAAATGGCATTCGTGAGCCGCATTAGGTTCAATTTGCTGGGCAAACATCTTGCACACCTGGCTGCCTGTCAGCAGGCATTTAAAATCAGATTGCGAGCACCGCCGATTGACGACTGTCAACCGAGAATGGGTCAAGAAGGCAGTCAAATCAAATTGCTCATACGCCCCCGTGGATATGAGCTGCGCACACTTGGTCGGGTTTTAAATAGCAGTTGGCTGCAAATCACGAGGATTTTCAATTATCTAAGCTCGGTCCCTGGTCAGACATCAACAATCCATCAATCGAGTGCTTTTTTTGCTGGATGCTGCTAGATAGGACATCCGTTGCAGCTGCTGGTCGAGTGTTTATTTGTGCCACTAATTTACACAAACATGACCCGGACGCGACCCACACACAAACTAGTTCTCCCCGTGAACCCCAGCTGGCATTTATTTATTTACTAACTCTACGTACGTGGGACGACCTCTTTTCCAGCCCTGAAGGCCCTGAAGGATTTATCTATTTGCCAACTGCTGAAAATGTATCCTTGACGGTGGAAAAAAAGCATTGCCATAAAGTTGCGAAAAGTGTAGTTTGACAAACCCGTATCTGAGGGATTACCTTGCACTGTGTTCTTCTTTCAATCTATCAACAGATTATATGTGCGAACTAATTGGACAGCCAACGCAACGGTGTATTTCGATGTACTTCTATTTATCTGACAGATAAATAAATGATATGTCGAAATGGAATGTGGCCATGTTCATCGCCATATTAAAAAACAACTGAAATAATGTTGGTTTACTCGCTGTAGCTCACAATGGGCTATTTAGTTGATTGAATGTACAATTATGAAATTGGAGCGCAATTTAGTTCGGCAAATATAAAATGTTTCGAAATCTCTGCCAAATTTTTATCCGTAGGGCAGTTTTCCCATTACAGTATGCAGTGCCTGAAGGATGGAAACCAAATTACACGGCGTTCAGTCAAATTAAATAGTTTCTGCCATTGGAAAATAGTTTTGATAACTTATTTTCAGCTGCAAAACAGTAAACTGATTAATCAATTCTCAGTTTGCCCAGGGAAGGCAGAAAAGTCAAGGGACACTCAATAAGTAACTGGCCTCAGTGTTTGCCTTTCGAACTTACCAGTGAATCAATTATTTGCGCTTGCCCGCTTTATCAGTTTGCTAATGCTCCGGAGAAGTTAAGTCCTCAAATGGCGCGGCAGATAATGCCCCTCGACGCCCACCGTGTGTCCTTCGTCGGCGGAGCAGGAAGGCGAAGGGATTTAATTGAATTAGTCGTGTCCAGAGCGCGCGAGGCGCTTTGAAGTTTGCACTTTGCACCCCGCCCACTCGAGCTGGTGACTCGAGGATGCGGAGGAGTCCTGTGACCAGGAACCAGCGCACTTCCGTACACCCAGGACCAGCACCAGCACCAGCACCAGCACGAACCGGGTCCTGTTGACGTTTGCGCGTTCAGCCGGAGCCCAACTGCCGGAAGGGCAGCGGCTTTGTTAACTTTCCGCGATGCCAATAATTAAGCCAAATAGAGTGTGAGTGGGCCAGAGGACTTTGGACAGTAGACAGTCGAGCGACCAATAAATAATGGCTTGTGAAATGTATAAGCCAAGGATGATAGAGCGCTCTGATGTGGCTTAAATCCGAGCATTAAAACATTAAGTTGCCAATCCGGCATGAGGATGTGACTGGATGGTCTGGGCAAACAAGTCGATTCGACAGCTCAAGGACAACGCAATGCAATCCATTCGGCAAGGTTATCTGTATAAGTACATAAATCCTTAAAAATATTAGATTCAAAACTATGAAGCATGGCATGGGTATAAGGGGAATGAAAACGTGTAGCCAGCGATTTATCTGAGTGCCAAGGACGGATTCACCATCAATTCAATGTTGCTGGGGAAAACTAAAGTGTTAGCTTTACCCTGATGATGTGTTAGCTTTTTTACGGCCAAATTGATTCGCATAAAGCTTAACATAATAAAAACTTGCAGATTACCACAGATTATGAAGCGTCTTTTGTTCTACTTACAAGCAGGGCAAAAAGGATTTTCAGTTTTCACTGTTCGCAAGGCGTGCGGCACTGGAGCAACTTTTCGCACTGGCTGCGCCGAGATAATCCCGCTTTAATCTCGCTTTTAAAGCAACAACTGGTCTATATTCCACATTCCACTCTGCACAAGTATCAGCACTTGACAGCACCGCTGTCTCACTGGGGATATAGAAATGCAGACGCATGCCGAGTGCACACACTGCGTATACGCAATGCGTTTCTGTTATTTTAATGTAGTGTAGCAAAGTTGAAGGGGCGAACTTTTAACGGACGCACATTGGACGGCACACTGGAGAAACAGAAGAATCCCATTTTTGTGTTACTCCGACACATAAATAGGCAATCGCGCTTATGCCCCCTGTTGAATTTTTGTTATGTACGAGTATAGTACTTAAAGAGAACCCGGGCGGCAACCGTTCGAAATCCCATTTTGCCAATTTGCATGCAGTTTCACAGCCTCACACTCGCCGATTATATCGTAAAATATTTATTTATTCATTTGCAGTTCCCGTGTCGCCGACTGTTGCGCGCTTGAGTGCCAAATCGAAGCGCGAATCCCGACTTTTTGCCACTGCCAACAACTCGAACTGGCGCGGATCCGAGCGGGAAAAGCGTCCTATGGAGGATTGGGAAATGGAGCGGAGAACTACAGTCGGCGCTGTGAGCAAATACGCGATTCGCAGAGGAGCAACATTGGCAACCAGGATGATGGCGAACTTCGGCAGCCTTGTTTGCATTGCAGATTGCAATTACTCCAGTTTTAAATTACGCACAGCAACAGGCACAAAGATAAACGGCAAGTACAGCGAAAAAGCACTGGCGGAGCAACTTGAATGAGCTGTGTTTCAATCGGGCTGCGAAATCGAAGAGATGTCCGGGGTTAACGTGGCTGACCCTCTGGCCACGAAAATGACATTACCCATCACAGCCGCAGCAGGAGCAGCAGCATCACAAGCAGCAACACTCGCAGCAGCTGCCACATCAGCCACCAACAGCAGCCGCCTGCAACCTGCAACATTAACAAGCCACATTTTCACGACAGCAGCAGTCAAAACGACGACGACGTCGACGAGCAGTTTGCCTATAACATCGCAATTTGTGGATGCCTCGTTGACTTCGCTATCATTAACAGCAACATCGTCAGACGCCTCCGACTCCTCACCCTTTTCGTCCTATTCGCCGTCGGAGTCCACGTATGAGTTCCTCTCCACAGTCGGTCCAAACATAACGGCCAATGGCAGTGAGATTGCCGTGGATAACCAGGCGGAGCTGGAGGAGAGCTGGCTGGATCTATCGCTGCTGCTGCTCAAAGGATTCATCTTCTCGTCAATTATCCTGGCCGCTGTCCTGGGCAATGCATTGGTCATCATTTCAGTGCAGCGCAATCGAAAGCTGCGGTAAGTCTATACCCAATTACTTTGGTTTCCATCATCGCTGCGCGCCTGTAACTGAGTTTAATTGAGGGTCATTGCCGCAAGGGCCGCAGGACAATGCAAATGGCAGACAAACAGTGAACTGCAGGGGCACAGGAGGGCGAATCCTTTTCGCCAGCGTAATAAATGTAATTTAAATGAGCGACAACTGGAATAATACAGCACAAAACGAAGTTAAATGCGGCACACAAGCCGATCCCCAGCCCATCGCAGCCATGTCAGCGTCGCGATGACAGGACGCCCCAGAGTGCAGTGCAAATAAGTGTAGCATACCATTGAGCGCTGCCATCGCCACCGCCCCCGACCACGCCCTCAGGCCCTCACGACCGCCCACGACACCCGTTTAATGTTGCGCAACGGTTATGCCTTCTGCAGCGGGGCTATATGTTGATTAAAGTCTTTAATATCCCGCTAAAGGAGCTTAAAGTGCTTAGATTATCGTTTACTACCTTAGTACAATCTAGAATTGCGTTAAGGCATTACAAAAAAAGCAGTACATAAAGGAAGGAATAGCTTGTCATAAAAGGCTCTTTAAAGAGGAACAGCCTTCCTAAATACACAACATCATTTCCATATATAATTATTGAAAGAAATATAATATTATGTTATGTATGAAAAGGTTGGCTTAATAACCTCTTAATAACAACATCTTAATAAGTCAATGCTATCATTTACATTTAATTTGCATACACAAATAGGTATCTAACACTTTTGTTAACCATATGATTTTTGTTATCCTGACTCCGAGTTTCCTGTAACACAAAACATGTTGATGTAATAGATGTCCCAAACAGAAATGAATGACTTAGGAGCACTAAGGTGCCTTTATCTTTGCATAAACAGACCCTTAAACCACATTCGCCACGAAGACAAGATGATAAGTTCCCATGCCAGTAGCTACCAGCTGAAGGTGGCAGCTGCCTGGTGAGTCGAGTGGCTTTTGACAACCGAGGAAATAGCTGCATACCGGTGCATACCGGAATAAGAAATGGAACTGGAAAACAGCCAGCTTGGCCAGCGGAAGGAGCTTAGTCCAACGGACTCTGCACATATGATGCATGCCATATGCTATTACGTTTGGCGTGGTTTTGCTCCGTGACGAGTGGTTAGGGGTTAGGAGTTAGGAGCTAGGAGCTAGGAGCTAGGAGCTAGGAGCTAAGAGCTAGGAACCACGGCGCACTCACAAATTCCTGGGCTTTTGTTTCGTTCGCAGGGTGATAACCAATTACTTTGTTGTGTCGCTGGCGATGGCCGACATGCTGGTGGCCCTCTGTGCGATGACATTCAACGCCTCCGTGGAACTCTCCGGCGGAAAGTGGATGTTCGGACCGTTCATGTGCAACGTGTACAACAGCCTGGATGTTTACTTTTCCACGGCTAGCATATTGCACCTGTGCTGCATATCGGTGGACAGGTGAGTGCCCATTTATGTCGCATATATTGTCTATATTAAACGGCTTAAAGTCACTTGTGCTGCGCTGAGCCACTGAAGGTAGCCGTTTAGTTTGGCCAAAAACCATTAATCTTGCCCAGATGCCTGGCAACCAAATCACTTTCAATACCAAAAGCCCGGCGAATTGCCAAGAAGAAACAATTAATTACTATGGCGCGCACATCAAAAGCAAACATTAGGCCCGGCCGTATGATGAATGCGGCCCAAATGATTTGCAGCTGGCCGAAACGTGGGCGTTTCCCCTATTACATTCCCCCCCCAAGCCCCACAACCTCCTCCATTCTGTCAAGCCGTTAATTGGCGCCATTCCCACTTGGAAGGCACCAACAGCTGCGATTTTCTGGCTGACCAGCAACAATAGAGGGATGGTCAATGGCCACTGGCGGCATGGGCCTTTTGTCTGTTTTAATTAATTTGTGTTTCGCTCACCTTTCGATGGGCCCCAAAACATGCCAAGAAACAAAGGAAAACTCAACCTATCGAAATTAGGGAATTAATGATGGTCACTAACGGAATTATGGCAAAACTAATAAATCTGTCATATTCAAACAACGTTCTTAGTCATTCCATATATTGTCTTATGTTTAAGGCACACTATAAGTAGCATTCAATTTTGATAAAAAATTAGGTACTGTTACCGGACGTAAAATGGAATATACATACGTCCATTGGTTAATATTTAATTTTAACTGCATTTACCAATATATTGTTAATTAAAAAGAATACACCACCTTATTTTTACGAATTGCGATAATGAATTCGGTCAAGAGCATTTATCCTTCATTTAAATGCAACAGGATCTTTAAAAGGTTAATAAATCGATTTCTGTGCATGGCAACCTGAGTACCGAAACACAATTATTCAGCCAACCAAAGAGCGATAATCAATTAGTGGGCTAAAAGGAAAGGCAGCAGGAGGAGGAGCAGAAGGAGATGGCTGAAAGCCACCTGGCACCTTTGTGCGGAGGACCTGTCCACAATTCATTTCCATTAATAAAGATGACCCCCTCTTCTGTTGAACAGATACTACGCCATTGTGCGTCCACTGGAGTATCCTTTGAATATGACACACAAAACGGTTTGCTTCATGCTCGCCAATGTGTGGATCCTGCCCGCCCTCATATCCTTTACGCCCATCTTCCTGGGCTGGTACACGACGGAGGAGCACCTGCGGGAGATTTCCCTGCATCCGGACCAGTGCTCGTTTGTGGTCAACAAGGCCTACGCCCTCATCTCCAGTTCGGTGAGCTTCTGGATACCCGGCATTGTGATGCTGGTGATGTACTGGCGTATCTTTAAGTGAGTTCTTAGCCGGATGCTCGATGGTCGATGTGGATGAGTTTGCTTAATTGCTGATCTGTGCTCTGTGGTTTTCCAGGGAGGCGATACGTCAGCGCAAGGCCCTCAGCCGCACCAGCTCCAACATCCTGCTGAACAGCGTCCACATGGGCCACACCCAGCAGCCCACCAGCCTGAGCTATCTGCATCCCAGCGACTGCGATCTGAATGGCACATCCGCCCGCGAGGAGACGCACAGTGCTCTTAGTAACTTGGAGGTGAGTTTGGAAGGTGTCACTTAAACCGATTAAATGCTACTATGTTTGCTTTGAAAAATCAAATCAAAAGATACAGATTACATTTATTTGAATGCTAAACCAACAAATAAAAAGAGTATGTTGCTGCATTTTACAGAAACAAATTCAATAAATTTACAAAATTTTGCCATTTTAAAGAAGTAAATACCACCAAATACAACTTAATCCAAAGCTGCCCAAAACTAGTTAAGCTACTTAAAAATATATCAATAGTATTAAACCAATAAATGCTTTAGTACATTCGATTCCTTGCCATGTGGACGATCTCTTAATAGTTGAATAAAACTTCATTGGTTTTATAGTGAGTAAAATTGCTAAAGTAGCACTTACACACTGATAGTAGATTAAATATGTACATATATATATAAAGACTTTAAAGCCATGCAGTTCGTGTATGCAAGCGGGCAGCACTGACATCCTGCACTAAAGCTCTTTGCCCATCCTCAATAAACGGATGTGGAGCGATTAGATTAGATGCCAGAGGGAAGCACTCCGCTCGAGAGTTTCTCCTTTTCCTTTGTGGCTGTGCGTAATTGATGCGCCACCATGACTTCCCTTTGAGTGATTGTCCTTTGCCCACAGGACATGCTGCAGCCGGCCACCGACGAGGACGACGACAGGGACGAGTGCGATGAACTGAGAGTGCCATCGCCGCCGCCACGCCGCCTCAGCCGCAGCAGCATCGATCTGCGGGACTTGGAGCAGGAGCGGTACGAGAAAGTTACCCACACGGACAGTGCACCTTCGATGATGGCACTGCAGCAGCAGCAGCCCTCCCACAATCAGTTGCAGCCACCGGCGCCAGTGTTCAATCCGCAGATATGGACGGAGGGCAAGATGATGCCTTCCAAGGAGCTCGAAAAGGAGCATACTCATCCCAATGCCCCGCAACAGCAACTCAGCCTGACCAGCGGCAGTGGCAACAGCGAACCGGAACCGGAGTCCACCGCCTACCGGGTCTTTGGTGGCCTCAACAGCGACGAGAGCGAGGGCAACGACCTGTACGACACCCACCTGCCGCTGGCCGAGGACAACAAGGAGCTGAAGCGCCTGATCGAGGACAACTATCTGTACTTCAAGCGCCAGACGGGCGGCACCATTATCAGCGGTCCGGGCGGTGGCAAGTACGCCGCCCTCAGTGAGACGGACTTCATCCGGCTGAAGGCGGGTGCTGCGGCCTGCGGCCGTAAGGCATTCGCCTCCAGCGACTCGGAGTTCCTGCGCACCATTAGCGAATCGCGGGCGTTGCCAGAGCAACCAGTGCCCGAGAAGGAGAAGAGCTTCAACATCCTCTCCCTGCTGGCCAAGACGAAGCGCTCGAGCACCGAGTGCTTCGCCCTGGAGAAGAAGCGACATCAGGCATCAAGCAACTCCGAGGGATCCAGCTTCTTCCGGCGCTCCCGGAACCGGAAATTGTCGCACAGCTACAACGGATGCGGCGGCGGCAAGGAACGCAAACTTGAGCGACGCCAGCGGCAACACAGCGATACGGACTCCACGCCCAACAAGCCGGACATCCTGCTGGACATCAATGTGCTCAGCGAGCAGAGTGGCGCCAGTGTGATCCAGCAGTTCAGCGACGGGGTGCAGCTGATTGACTTCAGTGAGATGAAGACACCGCCCGAGAGGAATCGCAGCGACGACGAGCTGGCCCAGCTGGCCGATTGCTTTGGGGAGTCACCCCAGCAGCCGGCCACGCCGCCACCATCGTTGTCGCCGCCGGAATTGCCGGAACCGAGTGGCCTGCTCATTGCCAGCAGCTCGGAGCTGGCCGAGATCTTTCGATCGCTGAGCTTTCCACTGGGCCGACCAGCTGGTGCTCCACAGCGCCTGAGCACGCTCAGTGACCAGGTGTGCGCCAACTATATGATGTCCCCACCGAACACACCGGCTCCGCCGGCCATTTCCGTGCCCAATGGAGGTGCCATGGACTCTTCCGCCGCCTCCAACGCGCAGTCGGCGTCCATCAATGTGTACTTCCTATCGCCGCCGCCGCATGCCGCCGCACCTGGTTATACGCCCAGTGACACATCCACGGTGTCCTTGGATGTGGTGACCAGTCTGCCGATGCCCGTTCCAGTGCCGCAGCCAAATCCCCAAATGCCCTCCCAGTCCAACATATCGCCCAAGCCGGAGATCATACTCGATTCCACGCTGTCGCCGGTTGAGGGATGTGGCGATGAGCACCGGGATGTCACGTCGCCACTGTTCAAGCGCAAAGATAGCGCCGGCGATGCGGACGTGAGCGTTTCCGGCAATGGTGGGGCTGGTGGCGTTGGAGGGCTCGGTGGCCGCCAAGGACGCTGCAGCATCCTGGCCGGCTACGATGGCATCCAAACTGTGCGGAAGAGACAAGCGTCCGTGGTGACCTACGACGTGAATGTCATCAACTTCTCGCAGGAGAACAGCGACAGTCGCAGCTACATCCCGATGGGCCGCGTTTCCACCAGTTCCGCAAGTGAGTAGTCATCTGGTCATTGTGTAGACTGTAGCTCCTGCTTAATTTAAGTAGCTCTATTAGGACCATTTACTATATCTGCCCCTTCGAAATTCGCACTGTTTTTGTCAGTTTTCCACGAGAATTTCAAGTCATACAATGGTTGCCTTAAAATATAGCTCACAATCTTCTGCTGTTCTGTTTTTACGGAGTAATTGGTTTGAACTCGGATTTTATACAAGGGATCTGGTCAAAATATTAGTACACTTCGCAATTTATTTCAATACAAAACAACTGAGCTGAAACAGAAACTATTTCATTAGTATGGTACAACAAACAATCAAATTTGTATATATCAACATATACTTTAGCTTAAAAAAGATTTTAATCATAAAATAAGTTAGCATTTGTATCCTACACTTTTAAATATTTAAATGAAGTGGTTCACTTGTGTATTTAAGTTCCTCTCAAAAATAGTGCGAATTTCTGAAAAGCATAAAGTATTTAAATATGTATAGAGCCTATAACCCCCTCATTGGAAAAGTGAAACTAAAATGCTTCGAATGAAAACTTAGTTGACTAGCTTAGTATATGTATCATATATTGACTAGTGCCAGCATTTAGTTAGTTGCACCTGCAAACGAAGACAGAAAGGGACGACCTACTTCCAGAGACAGGGAGCCAACGATAATGATCTGAATCCTTTCCCTTTTCGAACCCGATCCTTTGCGTTTGCCGGTGCATGGCACGCACGTGCATGTGATCTAAGAAGTGTCCTTTCGTGTCCTGTGAAATACCCGTTGTACATTGTCTACTACTTGTCTCTATCTCTTTATATCTATATCTCTTCCACGTCATTTCGTTGTGTGTTGTATGTGTATATATGTAAATCGAAATCACCAAATTATGTCCAAACAAACAACTACTTCTACTCCAAAACCGAATCCAACCAATAAAACCCCCAAAATGCCGTGGCCAAATTGAAAATTGAAAATCGAAAATCGAAAAACGAAAATGAAATGCAACACAACCAACTGCAAGCAGAGCACGATTTTTCCAATAAATCCTCGCTGATCCGACGCGGCGGCATCTGCATCTTTGTGGATGAGGAGGAGGCGGAGATCATTGAGCAGCGGCCCCGCGGCATCACCTTCGCCACGGTGCCCAGTCCGCTGCCCAAGTGTCCGCTCTGCGGCGCCGACATCAGCAGCACCACCGGCACCGGCACTGGCACCACCGCAAACGCAAACGCAACCGCAAATGCCAACGCCGGCACCACAATCGACACCACAGTAACCACTAGTAGTAAACGTAGTATTCACGAGCCAACACCAGATCTTGGCCAGGTCCAGGGGCCCAGGTCCTCGTCCAGTTCCAATCGATTCTGGCACAAGCGAACGGCGGCGGTCACAGCATGTTGGCAGCAGAGCAAGAACCGGAAGCGCCGCTTCAAAACCGGATGCAGTCACTGTGGTGCAACCGGTGAGTCTTGTCGTATCCCCTCCTCTCCTTCCCCAGTCTCTACGTCTCGCTCTCTCTATCTCTCCCTCTCTCTCTCTCTCTCTCCGTCGCTCTTCTCTCAGTCTTTTTGCTTGCCTCAGCTTCAGCACCTCTCTCATTGCTATCCATTCCATCTGAATCATTCGATTTCCCACAGTCCGGCACTTATTTATATTATAATACATATACTACTAAACCTGAGTATCCACGAATTCCACACCACCTATCATTATAGTTTCTATATACCAATACATCACCAATATTATCACCAGAAAATCCCAATTCAACATATCAAAAATGCACCTCGACCTATTTATTTCGTATGAAATATCCTGTCAATCAAATAATAAAATAACAAGTTAATGTTTATATTTAAAATTTGAGGTTTTTGAACACAGTTTTAAACTATTTAACGTATTTACCGAAAGTAATTTTATATATCCCTGGATTTGAGCTTTCTACAATCCCAATCATTTCAATGGCGGTTAACCCAAGTATCATTAAATCAACCGTGAGATGAAGCCGAAAAGAACTACCCCAAATTTATGTAGCCCCCAGCAAAAGATCCAACTTCAGTGGCAAATCCCCACAGAAATGCCAGTTTTTTGGCACCTCCTTATCCGGATACCAAGCTAACCAGCTTAGGCAACTGAATCCGGTGTGCTACACCATCGAAACCCCATGCTATCTCCACCTCCTCATCCTCATCCTCATCCACCTCCAGCTCCACCCACTCCACCTTCGAATCCTTCACCTTTCGCTGCTCTCATGCTGTACATAATTGCTTCCGCTTGCACGTGCGTTTGCTTTGCTTTATTGCGCCTCCACACAGCCTTTGCATTATGATTTCACCTGGCTGTGGCCATCGCAGAGTGGCATCCATCAAGGGATCCAGGTGGCCAACTGGATGGGGGGAACATGGGCGATGGGCAATGGGCGAACGAGGGCGATGGTCCGTCGCTTCCTGTTGCTCACTGTTGTCTGTCTGATTTGTTTTTCCTCCTGCCCGCCAGTGATGTTTATGTTTATGTTTGGGCGGGCGCACTGGACTGGACTGGACGGATGCGGAGGGTTGGTATGTCTTTGTGATAACAAGTGTCCTGTGTAAATATTTTCAATTGTTTGCCTCGTTTTTATTGCTTTCCCCGCACACCCACACGCCTGAACTCCAAGATACTACTACACATGTTGGCCCTTCCAGCACTTTAATGACAGTCACTTGCAAGGTGGACGGAGGGGGCGGGCTGGTGTGGGCTGAAGTGGCATCGATACCCAAGAACATGTAACAACAAGAGTATTACTAATGTCAAAGTTAAACAAGGATACGACCCGACGACACACATGGCGTATACGCAACATGCCGGCATACTCTTTCTCTCACAATAACACGAACGTAAACCGCATTTCTTAGCAATTTACACTCAGAGAAATATTACCTACAATTACTTCAAAGTAATTCGTAAAATGTTCTAGTCAAGAATGTTATTGCTTCAATTGAAAAAGGAATTTTAATATATTTTTGAACTTACAATTATATTAAAGTGTTTCCCTGAGTCTTCCTTTTCTTAAAATGAAATAATTGAAACGTTCAAATTAAACGGCTTCCCTGATTGCAATTTCAACAAATACCTTTCCTTACCAGACATTATATACAATTTCATATTAGAAGCAAAAAACCATAAAACAAACACACACAACAGGTAGACAACAAATGCCACAGTATTAAGCATATTATACCCCATTTAAAAATAAAACCATTTTTCGAGTGCTTTCACACACAAACAACCAGAAATGAACCAGAAAACTGTCGATTGCAATGACCAAACAAGAAAGACTGGCGGATCGAAACGAATCGATTCGATTCGATTCGATTCGAATTGAACTTAATCAGCCAATTGACTGCTTTCATATCGGTTCTAAACTCTTTATCTGTCCCACAGGCGGTTCCGTGCGACCGGCCAAAGGATGGAAGGCCGAACACAAGGCCGCCCGCACCCTGGGCATCATCATGGGCGTCTTTCTGCTCTGCTGGCTGCCCTTCTTTCTGTGGTGAGTGGTGGTGATGGTGATGGTGATGGTGGTGGTGGTGGTGGTAGGCCGCACGGATGTGGTCCGCAATCCGTAATCCGTAATTGTCGGTTATCTGCTGGCCGACGTCTTCTGGTCGCTCATCCTCATGCGATTCTCACTCCTCCTTCCAGGTATGTCATCACATCGCTCTGCGGACCGGCTTGTCCCTGTCCCGATGTGCTCGTGGTGGTGTTATTCTGGATCGGTTACTTCAACTCCACGCTAAATCCGCTTATATACGCCTACTTTAATCGCGATTTCCGCGAGGCATTCCGCAATACGCTGGAGTGTGTGCTGCCATGTCTGGAAAAACGAAATCCGTACAACGCCTACTACGTCTAGACCGGAGACCGGAGACCGGATAGCGACTGCTTCCCGGCCACATTCCTTCGTCGTCCACTCTCTTGGATGCGGAACAATGCCCCTATAAGTGATATTTAATATTTGAGTGAATCGTTATATACCAAGGGAGGGAAACAAAGCTGAGAAAAACAAGAGCAACGGCCATTCCAGTGGCATTCGTGCCAGGATATAGCTAGCATAATCCTTGAAGCTAAGCAATACTCGATGTGTGTTTATGTATACGTGTACAATTTCGTTTAAGCAACGATAGGGAATTTAAATTAAAGTTGTGTTCTGAGCCCGCCAAGCCGCGGTTGCTGGGACAATGCTGCCCCGGAACTAAGCTATCCATATATAAGTGTTGTTTGTCCAACTAAACAGGAGATATACGTAATAACTATACATATGTCATAGCAAAAACCAATTAAAAATCGAGCGACTCTTTGCGTAGGAAAGTTCCAATTTCAAGTGAAATGTTGTCAAATGAATCATCTAAGGATTATGTACTCCACTTCGGCCTGTCGAAGGTGAAACACTTTTTCCATAGATTACTGGAATACTCTGCTATCCAAATTTAGAATATTCACATGTGTAATTTTTCTTGATTCGGGGATATCGCAAATATGGATTGTAAATCCTGAGCCGAATAAATGCCATTAACTTTTTTTTATATATCAACATAGGTTAAACACATGATGGTTTTTAATGTCACTCATAAACCTAACTAACTGACTTGTTCAAGAGCCCAAAATTATGGAAAAAGTGCAATCGCATAATCTTACCTTTAGCTCTAAGTATCATATGTAACCTAGAAAACTAGCAAACCAAATCTACATTCAACAGAGTTATTGAAAATTACAAATTACGCAATCGAAATTATGTAAGGATAAAATATTGAATGGAAGAGAATTGTGTAGCTGACGTTATGAATTTTCATGCAGAAAGACAATCTACCAATGAGTAAAAAAGAATGAACTGCGAACAACAAAAAATGGGCAAGCTGTAGGAAATTTCGCCATTCGCTGCAAAATCGATTCACTTATTTCAATATAGTTAGTTCGATTCCCATTTCGATTCCCCTCTCTCCTGAGTTGCGACGACTTTTGTGATAGTAAAGGAAATTGATTGTATTTCTAGTTGAATTGGCTTGCATTGCGTAGGAAATGCATCCCGTCTAAGAATCTGTACAATGTATTGTGTATCTAAGTATTTAGGGCCATGTATCGCTATGTATTTCAATGTACTTGCTGAACTAAACTATTGCAAATTAAAGTGTGCAACTAACGTGTTTTAAAAACCATTCAAGACGTTTCGCCTCCGTAGACTTACAAGCAAATTTTAGAAATGGGTAAGCCCGATTTAATTTTAAATTAAAAAGCAACATGTATTACATTTACATTTACATTTACATTTTCGTTCTTATTTTTTTTTAATAATTTACTTAAAATTCTTGTAAAACTTAATTGTATTGCATTTATTATTAACTTTGCTAATATATTTAGTTAAAACAAGTGGTTGCTAGCATATGAATATAATACTATAGTTGAAGATATTTACATTTTTTATGGCACTCAACTATTGACATCACTTTTGAAAACCTAAGACAGGACTTGCATAATTATCCTATTGGCTTTAGTCGACCTCCTCGACAGTGGGTCCAGAGTAGCCGCCAAATCCTCCAGCCTGTTGGCCACAGTTGGCTCCCGGACTACCAGCTGCTCCTGCGCCCGCTGCCTGCTGATGCATCTTGGTCATGATGGGGGAGCAGTGGCGTGTGAGCTCCTCCATCTTGTGGTCGAACTCCTCCTTATCGGCAGTGGTGTTGCTGTCCAGCCACCGGATAGTGTCGTTGCACTTGTCCAGGACCGAGTTCTTGTCGGCCTCGTCCAGTTTGCCAGCGGGTGCCTGCTCCACGGACTGCTTCACATTGAAGACGTAGCTCTCCAGGGCATTTCGAGAGGTAATGCGCTGGCGCTGCTTCTCGTCCTCGTCGGCGTACTTCTCAGCCTCGTTCACCATGCGATCAATCTCGGCCTGCGAGAGGCGTCCCTTGTCGTTCTTAATCGTGATGTTCTTGGCCTTGCCCGTGCTCATCTCCTTGGCGCTGACGTTCAGGATTCCATTGGCGTCCAAATCGAAGGTAACTTCTATTTGGGGCACACCCCTTGGTGCTGGTGGAATGCCGGACAGATCGAAGGTGCCCAATGCATTGTTGTCCTTCGTCATCGCACGTTCGCCCTCATACACCTGGATGGAGACGCCGGGCTGATTGTCCGAGTACGTGGAGAACGTCTTGGTCTGCTTGCACGGAATGCGGCAGTTGCGCTCGATCAGCTTGGTCATCACGCCGCCAGCGGTCTCAATTCCCAATGAGAGTGGGGCCACGTCCACCAACAGCACATCCTGGATCTTGCCGCTCTGATCTCCGTTGAGGATAGCGGCCTGCACAGCGGCTCCGTATGCCACTGCCTCGTCTGGGTTGATGGATAGGTTGAGGTTCTTGCCGTGGAAGAACTGCTGCAGCAGGCTCTGCACCTTGGGAATGCGGGTTGATCCACCGACTAGCACGATGTCATGGATCTGACCCTTGTCCATCCTGGCATCGGTGAGGGCCTTCTCCACAGGCTGCAGAGTGTTGCGGAAGAGGTCCGCGCATAGCTCCTCGAACCTGGCGCGGCTCACTTTAGTGTAGAAGTCGTGGCCCTCAAACAATGCGTCGATTTCGATGGTGGCCTCCGTGCTGGAGGAGAGCGTGCGCTTGGCCCGTTCAGCCGCTGTTCTGAGGCGTCGTAGGGCGCGGGGGTTTGAGCGCAGATCCTTCTTGTACTTGCGCTTGAACTCCTCCGCCAGATGGGTGACTAGACGGTTGTCAAAGTCCTCGCCGCCCAAGTGCGTGTCTCCGGCGGTGGAGCGCACTTCGAACAGTGATCCCTCGTCGATGGTCAGGATGGAGACATCGAAGGTGCCGCCGCCCAAGTCGAAGATAAGCACATTGCGCTCACCCTTGAGGTTCTTGTCCAGTCCGTAGGCCAGTGCCGCCGCCGTCGGCTCGTTGATGATGCGGAGCACATTCAGGCCGGCGATGTGACCGGCGTCCTTCGTAGCCTGGCGCTGGGAGTCGTTGAAGTAGGCTGGAACTGTGATGACTGCATCTGTGATGCTCTCGCCCAGATACGCCTCCGCCGTCTCCTTCATCTTGGCCAGCACCATTGAGCTGATCTCCTCGGGGGCGAATCTCTTGGACTCGCCCTTATACTCCACCCCGATCTTGGGCTTACCGCCGTCGCTTACCACTTTGAAAGGCCAGTGCTTCATATCCTCTGCGATCTTGGGGTCGTCGTATTTACGGCCGATCAGCCGCTTGGCATCGAACACCGTGTTCCTGGGGTTCATGGCCACCTGGTTCTTGGCCGGATCGCCGATGAGGCGTTCCGAATCTGTGAAAGCCACGTAGGACGGCGTGGTGCGGTTGCCCTGGTCGTTGGCGATAATCTCCACCTTGCCATGTTGGTAGACACCCACGCAGGAGTATGTGGTGCCCAGATCGATTCCAATAGCTGGCATTGTGTGTGAGTTCTTCTTCCTCGGTAACGGCTTTTTGGAAATATTCAGCTTTCTTTTCTTGTCTTTAATAATAACTTCTTGGTTGAGTTCAGTAGTTGTTATACTTGATTGCTAGTTTATTTTACTTGCACTTCACTGCAGTTTGTTTAGCTTGTTCAGCTGCGCTTATTTGGTTGCTTAGCTTTCGCTCAGCGATGTGTTCACTTTGCTTCTTTGAATTGAAATGACGCTAAAAGAAACAAGCAGCGCTATTTATACACCCGGCGCTCCTTTCGAGAACATTCGAAGCGTGCTCTCTCGAAGCAACGAGAACAGTATGCTGTTTAGTATGTGCCAGAATGAGATAGCAATAATGTCTGGGAAGGTGAGGCGCAAAATTAAGAGAATACAGAGGAGAAATTTCCAACCCATGACCTACCACAACAACTAGATTCTCTTGCGGATTCTGTAATATTCGCACTATTTTGAAAATTTCTGTATAATAACGGCAGCGTGAAAAACTAATTTTTATAATAATCGCTGCTCGTTGTTATGCAGATGATGCCCACCAGTGAGCTCTGACAAAATTTTTAATTAGGAAGGTATTGGCACGATACATTAAATAAATAAATTAAATAATGTTTTAATTTAGCTCCAGAAAAGACATTAGAATAACAATTACTGCTTTCTCCCTGCTCGCTTAAAATTGAGAGCATAAAAATCGAAAAATATAATTTACTTGCTTGTGCGAATGAAAACAGTAAGCAAGAATGTGTGTATGTGTGCGTACTTGGGCTAGAAGTCTTTCGGTCGGAAATCAATTTTGATCTATGAAACGAATTTGAATAATGTTTTGTTCAATTTCGTTGGAATATACATAAATATCTAATAAAATATTATTTAAAAAGTTGATACCTTCCACCTCACACATACCTTGCGCAGCCCGATTCCCATGGCTGCCAGACCGATAAGCGCTCCTTTCCTTCGGTTTGCGTCCCGTGATGTGCAATAATCCGTGGCCAGCACCTCGATCAGCTTGCGGATTTGGGCCGAGTTGTTTTTGTTGTTGAATTCCGTGACCATTCTAGCGAAGATTGCATTTCCCAATTGCGATGACGAATTTCGGCGCTGGCTGTTTCATGGAATACTCACTTCTCGATCTCCTGCGAGGCCAGCTTACGTTTTTCGTACATCTTGTCGCCCAGCGCCTTGGCGCAGGACTCACTTAGCGGAGCGTATGGCGGTTCCATTCTGCAATCCGTAATCTTATCAAAAAAAACAATATTTGTAGGCGGGTTTATGGATTGCACTGCATATTTTCAATAACAGCTGTTTACCGGGGATGCCAACTTGTGTTCTAAAATGCTTTAAGTTTTTCTTGGGCGCCAAGATTCCGCCGTAGCATTTAAATTATTATATTTTTCCGCAAATAAATTGTGTAATTGTAATAAATACACATTTCAACGACTTTTAAACTCATTTAATGCAATTCGGTCTTTGTCTTTTAAATAAAAAGAATGTTTTTAATTTTCAAGTAGCTAATATAGCTAAACAAAATTTGTTGCTAACTTAAATATAATGTAATTATGTATTAATTATTTACATTCTTGTCTTTTGATTACAACCAAATAAATAATATCACTCTTAAAAACTTAAGCAGAACTTAAGTAACTGCATAATTTTCCTATTGGCTTTAGTCGACCTCCTCGACAGTGGGTCCAGAGTAGCCGCCAAATCCTCCAGCCTGTTGGCCGCAGTTGGCTCCCGGACTACCAGCTGCTCCTGCGCCCGCTGCCTGCTGATGCATCTTGGTCATGATGGGGGAGCAGTGGCGTGTGAGCTCCTCCATCTTGTGGTCGAACTCCTCCTTATCGGCAGTGGTGTTGCTGTCCAGCCACCGGATAGTGTCGTTGCACTTGTCCAGGACCGAGTTCTTGTCGGCCTCGTCCAGTTTGCCAGCGGGTGCCTGCTCCACGGACTGCTTCACATTGAAGACGTAGCTCTCCAGGGCATTTCGAGAGGTAATGCGCTGGCGCTGCTTCTCGTCCTCGTCGGCGTACTTCTCAGCCTCGTTCACCATGCGATCAATCTCGGCCTGCGAGAGGCGTCCCTTGTCGTTCTTAATCGTGATGTTCTTGGCCTTGCCCGTGCTCATCTCCTTGGCGCTGACGTTCAGGATTCCATTGGCGTCCAAATCGAAGGTAACTTCTATTTGGGGCACACCCCTTGGTGCAGGTGGAATGCCGGACAGATCGAAGGTGCCCAATGCATTGTTGTCCTTCGTCATCGCACGTTCGCCCTCATACACCTGGATGGAGACGCCGGGCTGATTGTCCGAGTACGTGGAGAACGTCTTGGTCTGCTTGCACGGAATGCGGCAGTTGCGCTCGATCAGCTTGGTCATCACGCCGCCAGCGGTCTCAATTCCCAATGAGAGTGGGGCCACGTCCACCAACAGCACATCCTGGATCTTGCCGCTCTGATCTCCGCTGAGGATAGCGGCCTGCACAGCGGCTCCGTATGCCACTGCCTCGTCTGGGTTGATGGATAGGTTGAGGTTCTTGCCGTGGAAGAACTGCTGCAGCAGGCTCTGCACCTTGGGAATGCGGGTTGATCCACCGACTAGCACGATGTCATGGATCTGACCCTTGTCCATCCTGGCATCGGTGAGGGCCTTCTCCACAGGCTGCAGAGTGTTGCGGAAGAGGTCCGCG